GCTGCCCGGCTCGCCGTACGACTTGATGTCCAGAGAGAAAGAGCGCTTGAGCCGGGCGTTGTCTTCAGGCCCGTCAGCGAGCTGCAGGCCGCTCAGAGCCTGAGCCAGCAGACGCTCCTCTGGGGCGTCGGCTAACACGCAGGGCAGCGTGAGGGGCTCCAGCAGGGCGAGGTTGGGGCCCCCGGGGGCTTCCTGAGAGGCCAGAGGCTCCATGTCCTCAGGTCGAGCCGGAACCTCGGTGCCGGGCTCCTGGTGAGGGAGGGACTTGAGTCTGGTTTCAGTACCGAGAGGACTTTTAATCTTCTTCTCAAAGTCCAGCAGCTGACCCAGGAAGTTGAAGTTGGGAGAGATCGTCGGCCTCTTCTCCTTCACAAACCTGCACACAAACATCGACCCTCGTTAGCGAGTCAGCGAACAGAGGACGCCGTCATTAGAGCTTAACGAGGATCTGGACTCATTAGGACACACAGCGGAGGAATGTGTCACATCTTTTGTCTCGGAGCAGCTTACTGAAGTCTGACTACAGAAACAAAACAGGGAAACTCTCAAACTGCATTATGGGAAATGTAGGAGTCTGAGAACAGACAGTTTAAACCAGCTCTATGAAAATGACCTGATAAAAACATACTGAGATTATTTTAACATTATATGAGCTGAAGTCAGGACACTGCTGTAAAGGAGAAGAAACATGGTTCTGTCCTCTTTAATCAGGGTTCCCACTGTAAAGGTAGAATTTATTTGATTGTATCTTTCATTCTGTTAGCTCATTAAAATAAATGTAGAAAGTGGTGTTTGTTATATGTACTATACTATTTACTAACTATCATCAAGTTCAACTGTTCTACGGATTATTTCCAGGATATTTGCTCATTTTAATCAATTTCCAGGTGTTTCAATGACTGGAAAACTAGTCTAAATTTCCAGGTTTTCCAGGCTGCCTGGGACCATCCTAAACTGAGATAAGAGGACTTCAGACTGGAGGCCTCTGGTTCCTGGACTCATGAGTAATTTTGGAAAGTTGGATTTATTTTATCGTTTTATGGAACTAAAGTCAGATGGATGAAACTTACTGAAACTAATATGTGACACGTGCTTCCATCGTCCGTGTGATCTCACCTGTACGCCTCGTCCAGAGACATGTCCATCCTCTTCATGATGTAGGCGATGGCGATGGTGGCCGAGCGGGAGATTCCAGCCAGACAGTGAACCAGTACCCGAGCGTTGGACGCTTTAGCTTTCTCTGAAACACACAATGAGGCCGAAGTGAGAGCAGTTTGTATCCCATCGGACTGATAAAGGCCTGCTGAGACATTGGTACAGAGGTCTGCCCTCACTAATGCAATAATATTAGTCCTCAGTCGTCTGTGGAGTCCCACAGGGAAGCATCCTGGGTCCTCTGAACTTTCTATCAATTCTAAAGATTTTGATACAGAAAAAGAATATTTTACAATCAATCTCCTCTTTGGGTTTATCACAACCATCAGACAGCAATCAGCTCATCTCTTTCAGAAACCCTGACCTGGTCACTGTAAATGATGACTAATGTTGGCTACCTGAGTGGTGCTAGGTGAGCTAGCTAACGTTAGCTTTCTGCGCAGTGATACGTAGAAAGAAAGTAGTTCCTACATGAGCTCACGAGATCTGTGGACCTTCACAGACGGGTTGTGGACAAACTGCTGTTGCTAACGTGGTTTCAATGTTTCGATGGATAAACGAACGGGTTAGAAGAAGAATGTGTGCTGTCGGCCGCTGACCTATGAACTCCACCGATCGGTCCAACCAGGGCAGGATCTTCTCACAGAACGAGTCATTGACAGGAACTCTCAGGAAGTGAGACTCTGGGATGAAGTCGGGTTTGGGGCAGGTGTTACTGGCGTTCAGGACGTAGCCGATGTCGTTCTGCTGCATCAGATCCTGGAGACAAGTTTACATTATCATTTTAATAAAGTCCTCTACAGGCTTCCGTATCAGAGAAACCAGCATCCAGAGCTCTTTGGTACCTTGTTGAGGACGTCTCTCTGGCAGCCCAGGTACAGGTGAGGCAGGATGCGGGTGGGTCCGATGTTGGTGACAGGCAGGCAGGGCTGAGAGATACAGGAGGGAACCAGAGCCGACTTCCCCTCACACAGACCAGGAAACAATTGGGAGAACTCGGAGAAACCACCTGAGAGGAACAAACACACCTTAATGAAGGTTAATCCTCACAGGATGACACAAACAAACAAACAAACAAACAAACAAACAAACAAACACACCTTAATGAAGGAGGCTCAGAGACAGTTCAGATCATCACCTCACTGTCTGTTTCATTACAATCAGCCGGAGACACATTTCATTCATTCATTCATTCATTCATCCATTATGAGACAGACTGAGTGTCTCACTGGTTCCAACCTGATCCATCAGAAAGTACACTGACTGTATTTTTAACTTTCAAAATCCAGAAGGACCTCCTGTGAATCTTTGGCGACCCCTAGTGGGGGTCCTGAGCCTCAGGTTGGGAACCAGTGACATTTATTCCACCTTTATCTTATATATTTTTATATATTAGGTTTTTATTATCATTATTATCTTTAAAACAGTAATATTCTCCCTCCTTATCACCTTTAAAATCTTCTTGTTATCAAATGATTGCACTGAAACCAACGTTGGTCTTATTACTTCCTGTCTGTGGCTCAGTCTCACTTTAAAAACAAATATAAAATATAAAGTGTCTGAGAGAATATTATTAATAGAAGTATATAATAATAATGATTGTGTTGGAAACAATCATACAGACGTCAGCAGTTCCTGAGTCACTGTTTGATTTAATATGAAATGTGTATATTAATGAGGTTGGATCCAGTGTGTGTTCCTGGTTAATGTTTACTCTCTTATTGATTAAGGTGCTGCTGTTATGCAACTGTTAAACTTTGACCGCTTTTAGGAAGCTCTCTAGTCGTTGTTTTTTTTTATCTGGAGGGTGGAGTCGCCAGTGCAGCATTACATCATCGTTACATAACGTAACCCTCAGTGGAAAGAAAGGAGGACGTCTGCATCGACCCGCCTGTCGCTCAAACTAATAAACGCCTTTATCAGACTCTCAGTAAACGGCCTTGTGGACTGACCTGAGAGCAGGTGTACGGAGGGAAAGCTCCGCTCCAGTTTCACCAACAGGACGCTGAGGAACGACTCGGAGCTGAGAGACGTCGGATCGGAAGAACTCTGGTCGTAAACAACGACCTCCTGATCGGCCTGCAGCTCCAACTACAGACACACAGACACAGACAGACATTATAATGTTATATATAATATAATAAAAGAGCTTTATACTGTTACACATTCACCTCCTGCTGTTTCTCAGCAACCAGTCATTGTTTCATATTTTATTATAATATTACAGTCAGGAGATAATTATCCTTTAAAATGAATGAATGAGTTTGAAGGTGTGAATAAGGGGGTCAATCAGGGTTTTTGATCACTGATCACTGGCTCTGTTTACACACACACACACACACACACACACACACACACACACACACACACACTCCTCTGTAAGGTTGATAAAGTCTCATTAATGTGAGCTGCACATTAACGAGGAGGCTCGTTAACAACATCACTGAAACCGAATTGTGGGTTTACCTGCTCCGAGCTACAGCGAGATCAAACTGATCAGAGTGAATATGAGCTGATTATTGGTGCTGATCAATAGGAGCTCCCTGCAGTCTGAATATGAGCTGAACAGGATGAACGTTTGTGGTTTGGCTGCTTCACCACTCGAACTCACTCGAGGAAACTTTTTCTCCTTCACTGCACACAGAATTAATTACAGCTCATAATCATACGGAAAATGTTGCCTCAGTAATAAAAGGAGCAGCCGAGCTTCCTTAAAGCTGTTATTCCCGTTTAACACGCCACCACAAAAAGGGCGGAGCGGCTCTGCAGCTCGCAAACTCTTTGTTCAATATAAATATACAGTTCTGAGGTCAGACGCCCTCGTTCAGAGGACCAACATCAGCTTTAAATACAGACGCTCAACTGGAGCTCAGAGACCCAATAATGCTGCTCACTCCCTGTCTCTCACACACACACACATACACACACACACACACACACACACACACACACACACACACACACACGCTGTTCGTTAGCTCGCTGTTTCTGGTAGCTCGCTGTTCTGCTCGCTGGTAGCTCGCTGTTCGGTAGCTCGCTGTTCGTTAGCTCGCTGTTCGGTAGCTCGCTGTTCGGTAGCTCGCTGTTCATTAGCTCGCTGTTCGGTAGCTCGCTGTTCGGTAGCTCGCTGTTCATTAGCTCGCTGTTCATTAGCTCGCTGTTCATTAGCTCGCTGTTCATTAGCTCGCTGTGTGATGCGTTCGGCTTTCTGACCATTTTCCCAGCAGCCATTTTGACATGAAATAGGGTAAACAATGAAAAAGGCTCTGTTCCATTTAGTAAGTTTTTCCACACTCAGTTTGACAGCTAGTAACATTCGTGTTTACCCGACTATTTCATGTCAAATGGCTGCTGTGAAAAAGGCCTGCTGACTGCAGACTCCTCTCAGTGTAACATTATTATACTGTCTGTGGACAGAAAACGAGCATTTTAACAGCTGATTGACTGATTTCAGGATCATATTGATCCGTTTATTGATTATTGATTGTGGGCTCAGACCGCCGCAGTGAGGCACATTAAAGAGACCTCCTGAGTCGGACTCTTTACCTTCTTCTTGGCCGAGTGCTGCAGCAGCTCAGCGATCTGGACTTTGTCCTGCTGCAGCCTCCTCTTCATCAGCTTGGAACAGTTCACGTTTACCGCCTCCAGGATGTGGGACGAGTTGTAGTCCACGAAGGGCCGGCTGTCGATCAGCACCACCCGGTCCAGACCCCCCTCCAGCAAGACCACCAGGGCGTCCGCCCCGATGGGCCGCACCGCTCCGGGCCTCAGCGTCCCGGACTTGTGGGACCATGATCCTGGTCCCACGGGATTCTCCGACATGTCAAACTACTTCCCCCCTCCTTCCCTTCCCTCCCACCCCCCACCCCCCTCCCTGCTCGTAGTCCTCCTCCCCCTCCTCCTCCTCCTCCTGGGCGTCCCGGGCCGGCGGTCCAGCGCAGTGACGCAGCCTGGCGAGGAACCTCAGAGGATGAAGAGCTCCATTGTGTCGGTCGGGTATGATGTCATCCTGATGGCGCTTGGCAGCCCAAAAACCCCGGGACGAGAGACACAGCGAGAGAGAGAGAGAGAGAGAGAGAGAGAGAGAGAGACAGAGAGAGAGACAGAGAGAGAGTGAGAGAACGAGCTCTGCTCCAAAGGCAAACCCCCACTAACTAACTATCAGTGTGTGTGTGTGTGTGTGTGTGTGTGTGTGTCGGTGGTGTGCGTGCCCGGGGGGGGGGGGGGGGGGGGGGTCTCTTTCACACCACAGCGTGCGAGAAACAAAAAGCTTCTTTTCTCCGGGTGCTGATGACATCACTCTGCACCTTGATCCTGGTCTTCATGTTGAACTGGTTACAGACTCTGGAAGGAAAGAAAAGACAGAGTCAGACTCACAAACAACAACAACGACAACAACAATAAATGAACATTATATCCTTTATGTTGCCGTCTGCACAGTGAACTTTTCCCAAAAATCACATTTGAACATTTTTAATGACACAATTCGTTCCAATTAAATATTTTCTATAATCGCTCTTCAGCTCATTCCTGGCCTCCATCAACAATGCTGCCCCCCGAAGGCAAACTTACTGCAGTTCAATGTTTGTGTTTACGTTCAGTGTCGCTCCGTCTCAGAGAAACAACATCAGTAACTCCAGAATCTACAGTCAACCTGCAGTCACTGCACTCTCCCTCGCTGTCTCTGAGCTTCAGCTGCAGTCACTGCGCTCTCCCTCGCTGTCTCTGAGCTTCAGCTGCAGTCACTGCGCTCTCTCTCGCTGTCTATGAGTTTCAGCTGCAGTCACTGCGCTCTCTCTCGCTGTCTATGAGCTTCAGCTGCAGTCACTGCGCTCTCCCTCGCTGTCTATGAGCTTCAGCTGCAGTCACTGCGCTCTCCCTCGCTGTCTATGAGCTTCAGCTGCAGTCACTGCGCTCTCCCTCGCTGTCTCTGAGCTTCAGCTGCAGTCACTGCGCTCTCCCTCGCTGTCTCTGAGCTTCAGCTGCAGTCACTGCGCTCTCCCTCGCTGTCTATGAGCTTCAGCTGCAGTCACTGCGCTCTCTCTCGCTGTCTCTGAGCTTCAGCTGTAGTCACTGCGCTCTCCCTCGCTATCTCTGAGCTTCGGCTGCAGTCACTGCGCTCTCTCTCGCTGTCTCTGAGCTTCAGCTGTAGTCACTGCGCTCTCCCTCGCTGTCTATGAGCTTCAGCTGCAGTCACTGCGCTCTCCCTCGCTGTCTCTGAGCTTCAGCTGCAGTCAATGCGCTCTCACTCGCTGTCTCTGAGCTTCAGCTGCAGTCACTGCTCTCTCTCTCGCTGTCTATGAGCTTCAGCTGCAGTCACTGCGCTCTCTCTCGCTGTCTATGAGCTTCAGCTGCAGTCACTGCGCTCTCTCTCGCTGTCTATGAGCTTCAGCTGCAGTCACTGCACTCTCCCTCGCTGTCTATGAGCTTCAGCTGCAGTCACTTAAAATAAATGTGTCTTCGGGACTAAAAAACATATTTCTGTCTAATTTTCCAGGACAACATTCCAGGATTATTTCCAGGATATTTGTTCAATTTAATCAATTTCCAGGCTGGAAAACAAAAGTTCCAAGTTTTCCAAGAATCGTGGGAACCCCGTCACTGAGGGTCTGACGTTGGTGTGTCCAACAGAGTTTAAGGAACCAGCGCCTCCTACAGGACCTTTAATCGCTCTGCTCACATTACTGAGGGTTGTATGATGATCTATGAGATTAATGTCAGTAAATCTATAAATAAACTCTGAGTCCTAACACGTCTCCATGATTCAACTTCACAATTTTAACTTCCTGTTAAAACACTCAGGAAATTCCCTCCTGCTGTAAAACCAGCATTGACTCACCAAAGATACTTAAACATGTTCCTCCTGCAGCAGCCAACACACACACACACACACACACACACACTGTCACACACACTGTAAATACCAACCCGCTCCAAACATGATAAAAGGTTAAAGTGTGTTTCTGTTGTGACTCTCAGTTAGAGTCAGACTGAATGGATGGAGTCAGGGTTCCCTCTCTTTTTAAGAAATCTTTTTCCATGACCTCTCCAGGACCTCTCCAGGACCTCTCCAGGAATTTTCCAGGACTTTCCAGTCCAGGACAGCTCTTGCTCACCAGCAGTCTTACAATGTATCGGTAGTTTGTTCTGTTCCTCTCTGCGTCTGCTCACCGTTCGGTCGTATTAACGCGTTATAGAGGGTATGCACGTGACGTCACGGTACCCCGAAGTCGCTGCGGTTATGCCCACTGAGTGGCAAAAGACGAGTGGCAGAGCCGGCAAGATTTTAAATATTCAATTATATTCGATATTCAACATGGGGAAGAGCTGCTGTGCTATCGACTGCACTAATAGATCTTCAGAGGGGTCAGAGCAAAGTTTCTACAGGCTACCAAAAGCAGCAGAAAAGAGACGGCTATGGATCGCTGCGATCTGGAGAGACAGCTGGTATCCAGGGACCGAAACCTGGATTTGCGGTTCACATTTCGTGTCAGGTAACGTTAATGCTGTATTTTCGGGCAAAATCATATCATTAAATTACATAATATATTGCCACCATTACTTCAGTAAAGCTCTTAACGTTAGCATCTTTCATTTAGCTATATTCATCACCCTGTATTCATTCATAAGCCCAGCTAACTTAAGGTAACTGAAGTACCCAAAAGTCATACTTTAGTAAAAATAAAGATATTGTGTTAAAGTATTACTTTGGTAAAAGTGAAAGTCACCTAAATAAATAGTCCTTGTGTAAAAGTCTCAAAGTATCTGATGTTGGCTGTGCTTAAATATCAAGTACAAGTACATTTTGTACTTGTGTCAATACACTGTATAGGCTCCTGTAAACTGACTTTTTATCAGCTTATTTTCTGCTATGATGTTTAGTTTTGGATTCTGTTTAAATCTAATGGCCAATTGAATAAATTGATTTTTAAATGTGCTAATCTGGCTCTGATTCATATAGAGATCGTTATATGTATATATTTGCTGGTACCATGTATATTTGTTTGTTTCAGGAAAAAAGAGTGATGATCCCCTACACCCTGACTATGTACCAAGTTTATTCAGTTTCACCTCTACCGCTGATCGGACTCGGGCTGTCAACCACCTGGAGAGATATGTATTGTATGCCTTTAGGCTTTGCCATGTATATTTACCTGGCGTTGAAATCAGGTACATATAAATGTCCGGATACCCGATATCTGGCCACATGTCAGTGTCCATGGACCAGATGATTTTGGGGAGCTTGTATGGATCATTGTGGAGTCCAACTGTATATTTTATATTATTCTATATTTTATATTTTATTGTCTATCTTTTTTTAAAATCATTTTAGCATTAGTAAATGTCTTATCTGTTGTGAAATTGAATGTTTACTTTTTAGTATTAGGAATATGTCTTGTCTGTCGTGCCTGTGCACTTTATCTGTTTCACCGTGGGAGAGTGAGAAACGTCCTCTTGATTACTTTGTATGTCTGGTGCATGTGAAGTAATTGACAATAAAGCTGACTTTGACTTTGACTTTGAACTGACGTCAATTTGTTTTGATAATCCATTTTTATTCAGTTTCGCTGTGTCAACCGCTATCCTTCGACATGTTGTGTACGGTTTGTTTTGCCACTCAGTCCGAATGAGGGGGGCATGTCGCGGGCGGAAGTGACGTAAACGCATACCCTCTATTTGGGGGGGGGGGGGTAAAAATATCGATTCATCAATGCATTGCAATATATTTTTTCCCAATTCAATATCGATTCATTAAATCCTCTGAATCGATTCAAGTCCCTGGCCAGTGGGGGCGCGGTGAGCAACATCTTTGTGTGATTTGCAATGTACGGATGGAGGCAGCACTCGACCATACAACAACAACAACATGGCAACCGAAGCAGGTAGCAGCAGTGTTAAACCAGCACCTTCAACTTTAAAAGCAGACGTTTGGAGTCATTTTGGATTCCAGTGTAAACCTGGAACACAGGAAATAGACAAAAGTAAGGTAGTGTGTAAGCTGTGCCAGGCAGTACTAAAATACTGCAATAACACAACAAATTTACGCAACCACTTAAGCCGACACCATGCAGATGCTCTGCAGCAACCCGCAGCTAAACCTGTGGATTCAAAACAGACACAACTCCACAGATCCTTCCTTTGCAAACTGCCGCCAAACTCTGCCCGCGCACAGAAGATAACGTGTCTGTGGCCGTCTTCATATGTACGGACCTACGGCCGTACAGTGTCGTGGAAAACGGGGGTTTTAAGAAGATGGTATACACAATCGAACCACAATACGCCATACCAACACGCAAACACATGAAGGAAGTCGCCGTCCTGAAGCTGTAATTTACTTATTACTGAATCGATCTCGGAGCATTTAAATCAGTATCGAATCGAAATTGAATCGAATTGTGACCTAAAGAAAAATTGAATCGAATCGTGAGGTTCTTAACAAAACCCAGCCCTAACGCGTTAAACTCAGTTTTATTTGTTTATAATGAAGAATTCATAATGAAAGTGACGCAGGTTCGTTACAGGTCGGACTTTGTGGGTCTCTGTGGAGCTGCTGACTACAGTTCCTCTCACTGCGATATCGCCGACTCCACGCCGGAAACTCGGTTCACTCTGCGTCTGGTAAACCCGACGAAGTGTCACAACAAGCCCCTCATCCTACCGACAGGTTTATGTTAGTCTGAGCAGCTACAACATTTCCAGGTCAACACAGACTCATTATTCCAGGATAAAGTTCCAGGTGTTTCCAGGATGGTGTAAAACCCACCAGTTAGCTCTCAGACCCACGTTCTCCACACAGACAGCTGATCAGGAATCAATAAGGGCATCGCTGCATAGGCCGACCCTG